GCCTCGATAATACACGGTCAGGTATTTTAGGGCAGCTGCCGGGTATTTCCCTTTTTGGCGAATCGGGAACATGGGGGCCCCGGCCGCGAGGTCACAATACCCGGTCGAGTATTTTGGCCCCTGGTTGGGGATTTAAGCATCCGCACCCCGTGAACAGAAGGGGTCCCGGCCGAGAGGCCAAAATACCCCGTCTGGTATTTGGGCTCTGACACGCTAAAACACAACACCAAACTGCGACCAAGTGTAATCGCAATCCGGAAATGCACTAAAGTGGCAAGCTCTATTTGTCAACCCGGGGTCCAGATCTACTGCCTACTCCGTGATTATCTATTATCTAGCAAACTAAGTCGAGTGATTGTGATTTTATGCAAAAGCAGTAAGAAAAGAGGAAATGGTTCGAAGTTCTTTAGCAAGGGAAGAGTCACTCAGGATTGAGTCCCCCTAGCTCCTTATTTAGGTCAAAGTTGTAATTACCTTTGGTTGATTTACTGTAGATTAAACTGCGGAAGATCCGACAGTAGCTTGGAATCTCTTAAGCTGACCAAGACCTCTCAGACAGACTAACCGGTAGGAAACTATCCTTCACCAGGATAGACTGCTGAGGCAATAAACACAGAACTCCACTACTAGAATTGGATTTCAGTACAAAGCAGTGAATCGACTAAATCTCGTATAATCGATTCACAACTACCAATTGAAGAAGCTCTAACAACCTAATCAGAGTCTATCTATCTCAATCAAAACACTTCAATCGATTATAATCAAGCAGTATCACAAACCAAAAGTCATTACAATCGATATCCCTAACACATGGAACTAGGTTTCTTCATACCCAAGTGAGAGAGGGTTCTACTTCATACCCAAGTGAGAGAGGGTTCTGCTCTAGGATGATAATCTTCACTCCAAGGATGAAATCCAAGCTTGATTGATGAAACCCAACTCCAAAATCATCTTTAGGGTGTGTTCTTCGCACTTTCTCTCTCTAGGACTCTGTTTCTAGCTCTCAAAATTGATTCCCTTTCCTATGGCTTGAATCTGCCTAAAAACCCAATTTTGGGCAAAACACGATCGAAGACACGGCCGTGTTTTACTTTTGCCCTCCCGTATTTTGCCCTATCAGCCCTCAGGACACGCCCTCGGTAGTAAAAACACTAGTGGGGGCCAGATGAAACACGACCGTGTTTTTAGAGTAGTCTGCCCGTGTTTTTACTGCCGAACCTGTTCCCCTATATTCAATGCTTCGTTTCTGCCTCGTCTGGACTCCGAATCAGTCGCTGTTTGATGCTAGACGCTCGTAGTCTCGTCCTATTTCTTTTTATGACAAACTTGCATGATTATTTGTCCATAAATGAGGTATAAATCCATTATTTTTCAGGTCATGTCCAATTTTATTCTCCCGAATGGCCAATTGATATCCGATTGACTTGAAACTTGCGCCTAACCTTTTTTCAATGCTTGGGACCTGAAATGTGACCAAATAGCACAAACCAGCGTAAAATAGGCCAAAGATGCAGGACTAGGAGTCGCAAACTGATAAGAAATAAGGGTGCAAACACGTGCAAATACATCGTTATCAGGCTCCTGGCCGGGTATTTTACCCTTCTCGGCCAAAATTTGCTCTCCTCCATTTTTTTGAACTCCCCTGCACGAAAACACCAAAAAGAGGCATACCATACGACCTAACTTCATCACAGACGTGCAACTGACTCGAATACACCACAAATCAAAGGAAAAAGGGAAAGAAATGCAAACCCTGGTGGAGTTGCCTCCCCACAAGCGCTTCTTTACCGTCTTTTAACTGTACACCCATGGCGGAACTAAGGGTGCGCTAGTTTAATTGCCAACTCCGCACGTTCGACCTCATCTCCCAATTAGAGCTTGAGATGATTGCCATTCACTTTAAACGGCTCAGTATGCGGGTTGGCAATCTCGATCGTGCCATACGGGAACACCTGTGTGACCGTGAACGGTCCAGAACACCGGGAACGGAGTTTTTGAAGATAGAGCTTCAGGCGAGAGTTATAGAGGAGAACTCGATAGCCAACCTGAAACTCCTTCGGACCCCTCAAGCGGGCGTCTTGAAGACGCTTAGTGTGCTCCTTTTACAGCTTGGTGTTTTCGTAAGTGTGGAAGACCATTCCTCTAACTCCAGCTTCTACAATTTGCGTTCTACACCTGCAAGACTAACATCCAAGTTGAGCAGCTTAAGGGCCCAGAAGGCCTTGTGCTCTAGCTCCATAGGCAAGTGACATCCATTTCCATAGACAAGCCGATACGGTGAAGTACCAATTGGTGTCTTGTAGGCAGTCTTGTATGCCCAGAGAGCATCATCGAGCTTGTTTCTCCAGTATGTGCTTAAGCTCCCGGTACGTCAGCTCGGCCTGACCACTCGTCTGGGGGTGCTAGGCCGCGGACACCTTGTGGGTGACACCATAGCGGGATAGTAATTTATCGAACTGGCATTGGAAATGGGTCCATCTGTAGCTAATGATGGCCCTAGGTGTCCCGAACCAGGAGACCAACTTCTTTAGAAACTGACAAACACGTCTAGGATCATTGGTGGGCAAAGCTTGTGCCTCAGCCCACCTAGAGACGTAATCAACAGCAACTAAGATGTATGTATTTCCAAATGAAAGAGGGAAGAGGCACATGAAATCTATACCAAGACATAAAAAATCTCACAAGTTATGAACACATTCTGGGGCATCTCATAACAGGCAGAGATGTTACCTGACCTCTGGCATCGATCGCACCTGCGTGCGAAGGCGTGGACATCCTTGAAGAGAGAGGGCCAGTAGAAGCTCGACTGTAGCACCTTTAGTGTCGTGCAGTTACCGCCATGGTGCCCGCCACTAGGTCCCTCATGGCAATGAGACAGAATGCCCTCCATCTCATTTTCCATGACACAACGATGAATGACTCCGTCGGCTCCAATCTTGAAGAGATGGGGGTCATCCCAGAAGTAGTGCTTCAGGTCGGAGATGAACTTCCTCTTGGCGTGAGTCGTCATCCCCTTGGGCAGCTGCTGGCCCACCAGATAGTTTGCAAAATTGGAGTACCAAGGGGTGACACTCTCCACCAAGCACATCATCATTAGTCGCTCATCTGGGAAGGAGTTGTTTATCTCCTCCACGAGGTTGTCCGCAGGAGGTGCGTCAAACTGGGAGAGATGATCAGCAGCAACAGTTTTGGCTCCCTTCTTGTCCCGGATCTCGATGTCAAACTCCTGCAGTAATAAGATCCATCGTATGAGCCGAGGCTTGGCAACGACCTTGCGCATCAGGTATCGAATTGCGGAGTGATCCATGTACACCACCGCTAGCAGCTACTTCTCCGTGGTGGTGTAGTTCTCCTGGGCATCGTTAAGGGTCTTCAAGGCATAGTAGAAACTTATCTCGCCTCGGCTCCAGAACAGCTCCAACAGCAAAGTCACTGGCATCGCACATCAGCTCGAACGGTAAAGACCAGTCAGGAGAGACCATGATAGGAGCATGAGTGAGCTTCTCCTTCAGGGTCGTGAATGTCGTTGTTCACGCGTTAGTGAACTGGAAGGGGGCATCTTTCTCAAGGAGCTTCGTCAGGGGCAAGGCGATGTTGGAGAAGTCTTTTATGAACCGCCTATAGAACCCTACATGGCCCAAGAAACTGCGGATCCCCTTGACAGATGTGGGAGGAGGCAGCTTGTTGATTGTCTCGATCTTGGCTCTATCTAACTCTATCCGCATCTTGGAGATCTTGTGCCCCAGAACTATGCCTTTACGAACAATGAAGTGGCACTTCTCCCAACTCAGCGTCAGGCTCATCTTCTCACACCGTTTTAGGACGAGTTCCAGGTTGTGGAGACAATGAGAGAATGAGTCCACATAAATCGAAAAGTCGTCCATAAACACCTCCATGATTTCTCCGACCAGTCGGTCAAAGATGGCCAACATGTAGCGCTGAAATGTGGTCAGGGCATTGCACAGCCCGAATGGGATTCTCCTGTAGGCGAATGTGTCGAAAGGAAAAGTGAAGGTGGTCTTCGCCTGGTCTTCTAGTGCAATGGGGATCTGAAAATACCGGACATCCCATTCAGGAAACAGTAGAACTTGTTCCCCGCTAGCCTCTCCAGCATCTGATCAATGAAAGTCAGCGGGAATTGGTCTTTCCGGGTGGCGTCATTGAGGCGACGGTAGTCGATGCAAACGCGGTACCCGGTCACTGTGCTCATCGGTATGAGCTCGTTCTTCTCATTGGATACCCCGATCATCCCGCCCTTCTTAGGCACCACCTGGGTGGGACTGACCCACTCACTGTCAGAAATGGTGAAGATGATCCCCACGCCCATTAGCTTCACGATCTCCACTCGAACCACAACCTCCAAGTTTGGTGTCAGTCTCCGCTAGGGCTGTCTCACTAGCTGCATCTCATCCGCTAGCAGTATCCGGTGGGAACAGAAGGAGGGGTTGATCTCCCGGATATCACTGATTTTCCATGCCAGATCTCGCTCATACTACTTCAACAAGGCCACCAATCTGGCCTTCTACTCGGGTGTGAGGGTCGAGCTAATAATGACTGGAAGCTTGTTCCCCTCCCAGAGAAATGCATACTCCAAGTGAGGAGGGAGGGGCTTTAGCTCCGGTTCTGGTGGATCCTCCAAAGAGGTGGTGATGCGAGGAGAGGATGAGATCGGATTGTATTGCTTGGCACCCTCCAGAAACTCGCCACTCTCTAGAAGGCTAGCTGCTCCTCCAGCTGTAGCTCGTGCGATGCCTGCTCACCTAGAAAAATATAACGCTCAAGGGCATCGTTAGTACCCACACTCATAATGGCGAGTGCGGTCTCAAAATCAGCCAGCATATCACAGTAATCCAAGTCATCATGAAAATGGGAACGCTTTGCATTATCAGACACAGAAAATGTAACATGTTCATCCCCAGCATGCAAGATTAACGTGCCACTATGCACATCTATAAGCGCCTTGGCGGTGGCGAGAAATAATCTACCCAAAATCAAAGGCACATCCACATCCTCGTTTATATACAGAATAACAATATCAACAAGATATGTGAATGCACCCACATTAACAAGAAAGTCCTCTATGATACCCCTAGGATGCACAATAGAGCGATCAGCGAGCTGAATGGGATTCCAGGATTTTGATGAATGGACAATTGTAAAGAGTGAGTGATTAATCCAATTCATAGGTTCGTTTGCTATTAGTTGAAAACTGAACAACTGCACAATTCTACTGCACATCTGAGTTATTACAACAGGTTGTCTCAGTGAAAACATGTCATTCATGCATGGAAGATCATAGCCAACAAATTCAAAACAATACGTCACAAGTGTCGATAAGATCATGCAATCGGAGAAAGTTCTGCTTCGAGTCATCAAATTTTTAATTTAGGCAGTGGACTAGACTCCAAGCAAAAACATAAACAACCAAACAATTAACATAGCAAACACCCTCACACTTAAGATCGACATTGCCCTCAATGGAGCAAATAAGGTAAAGGGGAATGATGTTACCGATGTATGACAACTGTTGGCGGCGACTAGAGAGAGGACTAGTTAGAACACTGGACGGGAGAAGGGACTAGTCGATAAAGGTGGATCTAATAACAATAAAAACACACTTTGAGTGATAGATAGGGTCAAACCATAGTTCCAAGGTCACACTCAAAAAGAAAGAAAAGAAGCAGTCCGAGTTTGAAACGGAAAAACGAGACACACAAAACACCATCCTGTGGCGGGGTTAGCCAGTGCCAGGGTGGTCATAATTCACGTACTCCTCATCATACCCCAGGGAGTTGATCCAGGGGTACTGCACATAGGAAGATTGACGCCTACAAAGTGAATTTAGTAGTTATGTGCAGAAATGATGCAGTAATGACCATCCCTCTCGTGGTCCAAGAGGCTAAAGAGCTGGACCTAGATCAAAGTTTGTGAGGCCATAATCAGCTTATTTTGGTGTGCTCAGGGTGCCATCTAGTCCGGAACTAGAACCGACAGAGGAGTCACCATACTTTTGTGAGCTTGTTGAGGTGCTTCCCTTTGATCCACTTTACGGTCCCTTCCTTCTCGATCAGGTGTTGATTCTTGAGAATATCCTCATCAAACCGGTGGGTGCCTCCGACCTCATCGTAGATGTTGAGATCGACCCAAAAGTACTTTGCTAAAGCAGTGATGACAAGTTTGTAGATAAAGGGGCTCCTATTATGTGAGTACTTGTTGATCGCCTGTGCGACGATGGAGACCAAGTGCATACTGGTGTCCTTCATCCCTATGGAGTGCATGTGGTATAGTACCTTGAAACTGAGATAGCCCGTGAATGCTCGCTAGGTGTGCAGGACTTGCTGAGCTACTAGCTGATTGAGGATCTGCCACTGAGGTTTTAGAGAGCTTACCTTCGTCTGACCAGCAAAAAACTTGACACTGACCCACTCTAGTTGGAAGATCCGTTTTTAGTATGTCTAACATTGAAGAAAATGGGATCTGCTGCCTCAATCTCTAGATGTGCTGCAGTATTGGTAAGGAGGTCGAGCGCCCTGCCAAATTGATCGTAGCTCAGGGAGTGGACTTCACCTACGTGGATGAACTGTAAAGCATCATAGTGCTCGCCATGGAGCATCTGGTTGTGATTTAAAGTGTAGTAGAACTCCCAAGCCAACTCCTCATAGGTCTTGTCGGAGATGGTGAGGAGGCTGCGCTATTGAGCTTTATAGATAACTGTAGAAGAAAATTAAAACCTCAACTACTACCCAGCTGGCATACCAGACAACCACCTACAATATTAATACGACCACAGGAGCTCCCATTCCCATTCAAGCCTATCACGGAAGATAACATCTACAGAAGATAATGTTTTCTTTATTTCCTTTCCCAACCGACAGCCATATGGCTTTGTATAAATCCCTTACCCCGTTGGTACGCTAGACATACATCAATAAACTCTTTTTACATGGTATCAGAGCAGAGATCCTCACGACTCTGTATCTAAACCTGAAAGTTCATATCCAGATTTGAGAAGTTCATACTCAAGTTTGAGAAAGCTACCTTGAGGGAGCCATGGAAGGCGCAAACCCAAACCAAGGAGAGCAACCCATTATCACGTCTATTGCTGGAAGCGGCATAGACGTAATGTCACCGTACCACTTGCATCAGTCCGATCACCTTGGGCAAGTCCACGTATTGGAAGCTCTTCACGACACCAACTACGGAGAATGGGAGCTCCTGTGGTCGTATTAATATTGTAGGTGGTTGTCTGGTATGCCAGCTGGGTAGTAGTTGAGGTTTTAATTTTCTTCTACAATAACAGCTTCTATCTCTTCTTTGTTTTGCAACCTATCAAAGACTGAGAAGTCAAGGAAGTAGTGGTGAAAGAAGAGGAGCTTCTTGTAGTCTTAAAGGCGAGCCTTCTACGCATTATTTAGCTGGCCGAGGTATCCACGGGAACCTGACATGTTCCTGCAACCATACATTTATTCCCAAACACATTGGCAAGATGAGAGGTTTGGGGTAGGCAATTCGGTAATTGGAGCCCTCGAATCTCAAGATTTGGACATTGGACTAGGCTCAAAGTACACACACATAACCAAACAGCAAGAGAAAATCATTCACCATACTTAAACAACATTTCAGTAATGATTTAAGACAATATGAAATCCAATTATCATCAACAACGCAAATCACTCGTAACATGCAAGGGTAGTTCAATGTTAATCTAGGGAAGTCTATCAAGCATACAAGAGAAATAACACAATCCCCAAATTCCTCACCTAAAACTCTAAGTACCAATTTGCCACAATTAGACAATAAAGGCAAAGGAACGCACCTGGAGACACAAGTAGATACATTCGGGAAGGTGAGCAGAGGATTTAGCGCCCAAAAAATTAGCCAAAAATAGTCGGACGAGGGTGGTCGGAGACTCGTTGGAGTCTCACCGCCGGTGTATTCAAATGACGCCAAACCCACCCAAACTCCGGGGAATGGGCGCCCAAACAGCAAGAATATGGGGGTGGTTTAAAGTTTTAATTTGGAGGTTGCGTGAGGAAGATGTGGCCCAAAAATCGTCTGATATCGGTATATTCGGGGATTTCAGGCGGCTGGAGAGGGAAAACATGGAAGAGGGGGGAGAAAAATGAAAAAATACAGTCGTTGATCGTGTTTATAGGGGGCTAGCTGAAACACGGGTGGCCATAAACACGGTCGTGTTTTTGGTGGGATGCGCCCGTGTTTTAACTCCAAGGGGGACGAAACACGGGCAAGGCAAGATGAAAACATATTCGTGTTTTACTTGGTCGTGCACGTGTTTTCACTATCGAGAACAACCAAGTGTATTTGGAAAACACGGGCATGGGCAATGAGGAACACGGTCGTATTTTTCAGCTCTATGCCCATGTTTTTACTGCCGAGAGCTGCCAATTGGAATTGGAAAACACGGGCAGGAAGCAACGAGAAACACAATTATGTTTTTATCCCGGTGGTTGTGTTGTAATTGCCGAGAACAACCAGTCCATCCCCTAAACATAGTTTTCTCAATCAACTAATACCTATGCACCCCAGCTTAGAAAACCAAACAATCACATACGAAAATATGACATCAGGGGTCACGAATAGACTCCAAGATAGACTCGAGACACAAAAAAAGATTCAAACAACCAAAAATCAATAGAAAAGGTAAAAGAAATTGCAAACTGTGGTGGGGTTGCCTCCCCACAAGTTCTTCTTTGTTGGCGATGGGTCATGTCTACATATTACACAGATCGTCAACTCTTATTTATCTACTTCTATGACACGTTTATCCCTTTGTGATGTGCTCTGCTTGCCTTCTATCAAACGTCGTTTACTCTCTGGCACTCAACTGTGTAAAACTAATACGGTGTGTGGAAATTTTTTTTTTTGTGATGAAAGATCAAGCCACAGGAGCGCACTTGCTACGAGGCTCGAACAAAGGTGATGTTTATGAGGTATTGGCGGATTCTCAACGTGTTTGTCTTGCTTTGACTGCTGCGACAAAGATCTTCTATACCGTCTGGCACAACTGGTTGGGACATCCTCATTCCAAGCTTCTCTCTAGAGTGCTGCGTAATCAATATCTTCCTGTCACATCCCTATTTGTTCTCTCAAGAACAATGATCCATTGATCGCTCCAGTAAAGAGGTCGAATATCGGGCTCTCACCCATGCCACATTTGATATCCTGTGAATTCATAATCTCCTACGTGAACTCCACCAACCAGTGTCCTCTGTTCCTACTATCTACTATGACAATCTCGACGATGTCAACTTCTCTACGAATACGATCCATCACTCATGCATGAAGCACCTCTCCATTGACTACCTCTCTGTCCACAATCTAGTACAGTCGAACCACCTTCTAGTGCATCACGTTCCAATGGTATATCAGCTTACGGACTCCTTGACAATGCTATTGCTATTACACCCCATATTTTTCCTAACCCAAAATGACCATTATGCCCTTGATAAAAAATTTCTAATTCCACCGTAATGTCGATGAGTGCTCAAAATGTGAACTCTCGATTCAAACGGTGTCGAGTTTCGATATGAAAAGATGAAGTTGTGAACGTTAACTGAGGTTCAGATTAAACTCACCCAAAATTGTGAATTCCCACCATAACCCCGGACAATTAGACCCTAACCCTACCTCTCACTCGGCCTCAAGTAGACCATATATATCCTAAAACTAATAAAAACCCTAAACCAATCCTAGTGCTAGAGCTGCCGATGAAGAGTTCTTCGCAAAGAAAACTAGTGCTCCGTATGGGGGCTATGTACAGCAGTGGAGAGACCGCATTTGCAATTGGTGCAAAGGTCCATGGTTTGGAACGAGGTGAAGGCTAGGAAAAGAAGGAGAGACAGCTGTTGGAGTTGTGCGACTGGGAAGCGGAACGGTAATGGAGGTAATTAAGCAAGTCCTCCTTCACTTTAACTTTGGGGATCGGTTGAGATTGTATAGTAGCGTGGTGTTAAAGAATGAATTATATATGTTTACCTATGGAATTGAGAAGCAGAGCAGAAGGTGGTAGTTGCTGGGATAATTGTTCCCTGCTTGAGATAGGGCCACGTTTAATTTATATATAATGGGGAGTAGTGGAAGGGACGATCGCGAGTGGTGATGGTTTGGATTGGATCTCATGTGATGACGGGGATATATCACAACGTGGAGAGGGAGTTGATGCAATCCAAGGACAAGGTCAAGTGATGGGTACGTTCCAAGCAAAAGTTAAAACATCGGATGAGCTATTTGATGGTTAATAACACAAGCCAACCGATTGATAAGGTGAGTGTAAAGGGGGTAAATTCTACGTCTTACGGTATTTCAGTTTTTGAGATTGACCGCTATGTGCTATTACTTGCCTTTGTGTGATTATTTGATGCATGTGATTGCGTGTGATTTATGCTTCCAGTTATACATATTATAATGCGTGTTTTATTTATAAGTAAGTTGACTTTTAAGAAATGTTTTCTTTTAAGAAGTACTTCAACTTCAAGAAGGTGAAACCGTTTTAAGAGTTTTTAGTCGCTAGCGCCAGTCCGTTACCATTTGAGATTTTCAGATAGAGCAGCAGTTAAGCTCTTGAGATCTTTGAGACAGAGCAGTAGTTATGCTCTTGAGATATTGAAGTGAGCAACAGTTATGCTCTTGAGATTTTAAGATGAGCAGCAGTTATGCTCTTCAGAATCATGGAAGAAGAGTCTTCCACGATAAGTTTAAGTTTAAGAAAAGCCTGGATGGCTTCTCATACGTATGAGTTGGCAACCAAACTAGCTAGTGAGGGATCCCCATGTCAGTTAAGAAGTTAAGTGGAGATTTGAGCTATAAGAGTACAGTTTTAAGAGTTAAGATTTTTAATAGTGGAAGTGCAAAACAACTTCTACTAAGTAAAGTAAAGTGATCAAGTATTCATAAGTGTTAAACGTAAGGGCATAGACTGACCTCATCTCACTCACCAGTTTGAAGAGCCAGAGGAGCAGTTAGTGAGCAGCGAGTTCGAGGGCAACCAGTTAGAGGAGGACAGTATCAGCGTCACAGAGGATGCTTAGTCAAGGTTTCAGTAGCAACAACATTAGAGATTATTAGTTATTTACATTTATGATTATGAGTATAGACTGGAGATCATTTTGACATTTTAAGTATTGAGTTTGCCCATGTGTTAGGGCATTGTTTTAAACTACAAGTGTGTGTATTTTCAGTATTTTATTTATGAAAATTTTTCCCACTGAAATTTAAGATTCGAGTATTTCATTTTTTTTCAAGGACATTTTGATAAAAGTAGTACCCGCCGGTTAGGGTGTTACATTTTGGTATCAGAGCCGGTCTTGCTCTGTTCCTTGGTTTCCAAGGAATATTGGAATGTCGGTCTCAATTTTTAAAGGTTTTGTTTTAAAGGAAAGGAAAATGTGTCAAGGGTCTCCTTTTAAGTTTCTATAGAATCTCTAGTCTACTCTAATCGTATTAAGATAAATAACTTTAGTCCTAATAAAAGGGTGCGCCAATCGCAAAGTTCTATCCCGAGGTATAGGTACGAGGAATCAAAGGAATTAAAGGAGCACTACGAGGATTTTTCTACTTGGCTACTAGCAAGTGATCTAATAGGTTGAGATATACAAATAGGAGAACTATGAATCTCCGAAGAAAGAGCTACAATCACTAGATGTCAGTAGCTATAATGATGGGAGAAATTCAGGGTCGTTGACCCTAATTAGTGGCGAGTCAAGAAACAAAGAGGTACCACGAGAAGTCCCTCAACTAGTTTTAGTGATCAACGCTATTACAACACAGTGACATGAAGTAGTGGAAAGCTTAGACTTCAAGAGAAGTTAAGGTAGTATAAATGAAGTAAAGGAGTAAGTAAGTAGGTTAGATGGGGTCTGAAAGGATGTCAAGAAGTCAATGGTTTAAGGAGGAGAGGAGGCATGGTCGTTTACATATGACGATGAAGGAAACCTTAAAGGTAAACTATGTCACTAGAGAAGAGGGTACATAACCCTGGGAAGTTAGGTCGATGAAAACCCTTTAGAAGGAACAAGACAAGCAACGAGATAAATGATGTAGAGGGCAAGTTATGGTCTCGGTACGAACACCATTGGACGAGACGTGGAGGAAAGTGCCACCAAAGTCTAAAGCATGCCTGGTAGAAGACAGTGGGGAGTCAATACATAAGAAAAGACATGGAATATGAGAGAGAATAACAGTTAGCTAGTAAATGACAGTACGAATAGAGAACCACTTCTAAGTAGTGTGTGAGTTGGATACCAAGATAACACCGAGTTAGAAAGAGGATATTAGAGACCCTACAAACTACCCAGATCACAAAAGGTCAGGAGGATGTTGGGACCGTTGAAAGGGGAATGCAAGAGTTCACGATAATCAGTTATGGGATTGTCCTATCCTAAATGGAGGGAGCACCTAGCCGCCTAGGGTACATGAGGGGTGACAGAAGGAGGGACCTCTCTACTAAGTTGGAACTAGAGGGCTAAGAGTTGAAGTCTCGGAACTAGCTATAGAGTAAGTCATTAAGCCAACCGAGTATAGACAAGTAAGTGGAATGTTCAATAAATAGCAGAGAATTCGAGGAAGCACATGGAAGTTCCAAAAATGCTTAGTGGAGTACGACGAGGAAAAGCATTACCAAGAAGAAGGAAATCATTAAGTTACATTACCCAAGGTGCCCCACTCTGAGTGGGAGCGGCATAGTAGGATGTCATCTAGAGGAAGCAGCTAGTTAAGAATAAGTAAGACACGTTCAGTTAAGCCATTAGGAACCCAGACTATGAGATTAAGGCCATATGCAGGCATCAATCAAGACAAATGACATGAATGAGGTATGTTAAAGCCTACCCAGGGAAATCCTATGTTGGAAGCTTTGACCCTAACAATAACGAGAAGATACTCAACGGAGTTTGGTGACCAAATGTAGTACAAAGCAACAATGGAAGAGTAGTAAAAGTAAAGAAGAAAGGAGAACACCATAGGACGTTACAGAAACAAAATGGTGGTCGTCAACCGGGCGATGTATGCGTCAAGGAAGATAGCTAGGACAGACCGAAGCAGGAATATAACAAACAATAAGAAAGCATTAGGTTGATTACCTGTAGAGAACAATCAATCCATAGG